CTGAAGTGTTCTCGGTCAGGCTTTGGGCTTGAGATTTCTGGAGCTTTGGAGCATTGAAGGCCGCAAGGTCCTTGAAAAGTCTTAGTTCGCTGCATGGCTTGAGAGACTTTCGCAGAACAACATCGCAATTACACCCTGCTGGATTTTGGCGTCGGGTGTAAGAAGAATGCGCTTACTCTCCACACGGGCTGGCGCGGGAATATTCCACTGACGCTAAAGCGATCGCTAGGCACACATCTTTTCTGCGCACCATTCGAGACTCAAGGCCTGCGGTTGTTCTGTGCACAGTCGAGGCTGCCTAAGACAGACATGTCAAAGCGAACGGGAACAATCGGCCCCCAAAATTCTTGTCGACTGTGCTTCCGCCTCGTTTGAGACGACATTCTCCTTGTCTACCGCGGCTCAGTACAGTTTCCTCCTGCTCAATGGCGTACTTGTTCGTCTGGAGCAGGCGGTACATCGGTTCCATATGTGCTCCGGCAAGCTTCGTGAGCCCGTCGGCTGGATTCTCATTATGAGGTACCCACCGAATGCGTCCTCGTAGTCGGAGGAGCGATTGTTGAATAATCGCGATTTCCAGGGCCGACCGATCATCATCGCCATGAGACTGTTCCGCATGCAACGCGTCGAAGAGCGACTTGGCGTCGGCAACAGCGATGCTCTTGGGGTCGATACAGCGAGGATCTTCGGTCGCCAGCACTGTTGGAGAGTCCTCCTCCTGGTCGTCCTCGTCAAAGCTTCCCCTGGGATCAAAGTCGGATCTGGTGAAGCTCTCCCAGGTCGCCACTTGGCGCTCAAGTGCGCCCATGGCCGTAGACAGAGCTATGGACTCGCAGAGGAGGGTGTTGCCTGCCTTCCTCTTCATCCGTCGTGACTTCCAGGCCATCAGACTCACAGGAGCGAGCTCCCCGCGGTTCAGGGCAGGGCTGGTAATTCCTTGTAGCCACCCGTGCTGAGGCTTTGTTTTGCCTGTCGGATCAAACGCGGAGTCGGAGATCACAACATGGCGAACCTGGTCCTGGGGAATAGAGTGGATCACCAAGTCCACTTTCTTCGCCTTGACAAACTGGACAACTTGATTGACCGCAATCACATCTGCCATGGTGGGAGACGGGAAGCATCCTGCCAGAATGCTTGCAGCTGCCGAGGCGTCAGGACGACCCTCCCGCGCTGCCCAATTCAATGCGGCTATCACGCCGCGTAGTTGGCTTTCTTCATCTGGCGTGAGCTTGGTGGAGAGCGAGTCCTTCTTCAGAACCCGGCGGGCGATGTCCACGTACTTCAAGCGGTTGCTGACATAATCCGACATGCTGTAAGCGAAGCTGTAGTCGGATCGTTGCTTCAATCGTCGTCCCGCGTATCCGCTTCCCGACTCGCTGTCCATTAGACTTGTAACTTTCCCGAAACGAAAACGGGATTCAAGGGCCTTCATCTTCAATCGATGTCTCTCTCCCCCAGCTTCCAGCACGTCATCGACTTCTATCACAATGATCCCCTGGGTGCTGGTCTGGTCCTCAAGCTTCTCAGCGGGGTCGGCCTTGAGGATGAGCACGCAGCGGTCGTATGGCGAAACTGTGTAGCCCAACTCTCTGACCAGCACAGTCAGTAGTGATCTTCGCCACCAAGCAGGCCCGGAAACTAGGCCGTAAATTTCAGTGAGCAACAAAATCAACTGCTTGGGGTCATACGTGGGGAAGTGTTCGCACGATGGCATTCGCACTGCCAGTTTTTGCTTTCGGGTAGTTGGCATCGATTGGAGGAAAGCTGTCTTCACGTCTCTCACGTAGGCTTTCCAATGCTTGGTCGATGCCGTCTGCATCGCCAAGTAAATGGACGTTGTCAGCGGAGTGGGCGCTGAGCGCTCGATAGCATGGACCTCTGGATCTCTCCATCCCACGACGGTCCACCTTGATTTCGGGGCCACAACTTCACTGTCTGCATGCACCTTGTCGTAGGCGTCGAATTGATCAGGAAGAGTGGCTCCATCCTCCGAGGGCTTCCAACGATCCACGTAACGGCTGGTGAGGACGTGGTCCGGGTGTTCTCGCTCAAACTGCAAGGATTCCTCCAGGCTGAGGATCTTGATCGCCCCACTATCCAGCAGACTTTTGATCTCCTTGTCTCGAGAGCGGCGGAACACCTTCTTAAGTTGTTCTGGAAGTCGTCGGAAATCAACATGACCGGGAGGATCTACTTTCTTAGAGAGGAACATCTTCTTCTCCCGGTGGCTGTACGTCGCGTGAGCTTCATTTGGCGCAAAAGGCACCTTCGACGATGGTAGTGGCACCTTCCGGTTCCGAGCTTTGTCGGTCCACCACTTGACCTTGTCCGTGCCGTCCTCTCCGTGCATAATCTCGAGGTAGTTCTGTGGCTGTCCGGGTGATGGCCAGGAGGGCACGCTGTCTGACATAGGATATGGCATTGGAGGTCGCCGAGTTTCTCGAATGGGACCGAAAACCATTTCCCCGGAACTGGCCTCATCCACGCGAATGCTCGACCTCCTTGAGGCTGTCGCTGACGGTGGAGCCGTTGGTTGAGCTTCTGAGGGAGGTCTCGTGCTGTCCTCCTCGGGTTCCATGGTGACGTCCTCCTCCGGGATGGCAGCCAAGGGAGGATTCTGGTTGAGCCCGGGAGTGTCAAAGGGCTGAAGACCAAGCTGCACTGCCTCGTCACGTGAGAGCTCCTCGGTTTCCGATGGGGCGTAGTCCGAGCTTTCAAAGCCATCCACGCTCTCGTCGGGGAGGCCCTCGTTCTGGATGTCGCGGTAGTGCTTGAGATTGCCCTTCTCAAAGTCCTCCAACATCCCTTTTGCCAGAATCTTGCGCAGCTCGGTCCCAAAGTTCTCCTCGGCGGTGGCCAATCTGGTTTGTTCCCTCGAGGCTTTGAGCAGATATCCTCTCAGACTGATCCACAACGATCTGCCATTCTCGGTGGTCTGGATGACCACTCCGGGTCCGGACCATCCACGGAATTCAGGTGTGGTCCTCCAGACATACACCCGGTCACCAGCATTGATGGGGATGGCATCGACCGTTCGTGCGTTCGTCTTCACCGCTCTGACGACCGCCTCATAGTCCTGCCTTTCCATCCAAGCTTTGGTCGCGGCCTCCCGGATCTCGGCACTTCTCTTCATAAAGTCACTTCGAGGTGCTTGTAGTAAATCATGATCGACAAATCCATCCGAGAGAAGACTTGGCGCCACGCGAAGGTTTGTTCCGAACACTCGCTGCTGTGGGCTGAACCCACTCCTGTCGTAGTACATGTTGTGTGCCAGCGCTGTCTGCGCCACGGCGATACGGTAGTCCGTTTCCGAGGTGACCGCGGCGTCCTGACAGACTTTTGCCAATCGCGATTTGAAGATGCCCCCGGCCTTCTCCGTCCTTGAATTCTGCCAAGGGGAGGCCGTGTCGGTATAATGCACGACCGTTCCATTGTCTGTCATCAAGTCCACGAAGTCCTTGCCAGTGAACTCCGTTCCCTGGTCGCAGATCACCATCATCGGAGAACCATAGTGGGCCAGCCATGAGCGAGCCATCGCCAGGGCCACTGATGCCGAGGACTTGTCCTCGATGATCTCCACGACCTGATAGTTTGTTCCCCAGCAGATCATATTCAAGAAGATTTTCCGGTCAATGAAGAAGAGGTCTGTGCCCACGACTTCATTAAACGGTAGAGCTCTGGCCGCCAGATGTGCCGGCCTGTGTTGAGCCGGAGGTTTCTTCTGCTTGCAGATTGGGCACACGAACTGTTTCCGGATCCAGCGCAAGTACTCGGCCTTCACCCCGGCGTGTTTCAGCGCTCGGGTCATCGTGATGTTGTCCGGATGGCCCAAATTCCTGTGGAGGCGGTAGATCTCCCTCCGGATGTCGGCTGGTGGTGAAGGGCAGTTCGGGTCCTCGACGATGTTCTCCGGCATGTGGGGAACCTTTAAGTCTCTGAGCTCGGTCCTGACCATGGCCTCATCGACGGAATCCACTTCCATCGCAAGTCCTTGATCAAGTACGCGGTTTGTTTGGGGGTCCGTCTCGAGGTCGGGGATCTCGGCTTGGTCGGGATCCTTGTCGAACTCAAACTGAAAATCTCCAGGGGATTGGGCGCGATCAGCCCGATTGGCTCGTGCCTCCTCCCCCAAAATGTTGTGCGATGGAAAAATGGAGAGCCACTCTCGTTGAAAAGCGGCTTCTTCGACCTGGAAGGAATGTAAATGGTGGGCCAGGCTGGCCGCCAACCAGGTCGCGTAAGTGTGGTATGAGCTGGGCAGCAACGTTTGAGGGTCCAGCTCAAGAAAAGTAATCCCCGACCATGGCATGGGCGCCAGTTCGCTGGGGCCCGATCGCCAGTCGTCGGTGACAATCTTGGACGGAAGGCCAACAAAATGTTGTTCGGTGATGCGTTTGCCGGTGAACTTGAGGTCCTTGATGTTAAAAAACCGGCAATGTTGTGGAGTGACGGGTTGTAGTCGCGGTCGAAAATGACGGCAAATGAGATGGCATGGTGTGACCCTCCAGTTGTCGTCCAGCTGTGGTAGTGGATGATGTTTCATCTTGACATGCTTCCTAACCCCGTCCATGAGGAACTCCACAAAGACGTCCAGGTGCTTTGGCGTAGATCCTGGCCACGGGCGTAGTGATAGTCGCTTCTGCACCTGACTCGGAACGAACTCGAGGTTGGTGATAAGGACCGTCTCATTCCTGTCCCCTTGACCTTCTGGTTGTAGTGACAGGACGTAGACTCTCGAGTCATTGGTCAGCGGCTCCAGCAAGAGAAGGGACTCCTGAGACGGGTGTTCAACTATGAAACCACGATTTCCGGCCAGTTGCATCTGCGCCAATGACATGGAGAACCTGCAATGTGTACACGGCAATGAACTGGACCTTGTAGTAGATCTCGAGTGTGATGTTCCACTATTCGATGGACTGGACCTTGTAGTAGATCTCGAGTGTGATGTTCCACTATTCGATGGACTGGACCTTGTAGTAGATCTCGAGTGTGATGTTTCACTATTCGAGGGACTGGACCTTGTAGTAGATATCGACTTCCTTCGGCACGTAGTCGACGTAGTAGCCAGACTTTCCCCCTGGTCAGTGCCCAACATCACCAGAGAAGGCCTGGTTACATTTATCACACGCAGGGCGGCTCGACGATGCTCTTCACGGTTGAAGTCCCAGCCGAGATGAAGATCCACTGCATGACCGACCGCTCCCACTTCGATCTCCTTCACTGGGGTTGCTCCGACGAGGAATTTACCTTGGGTCACAAGGTTTTCTCTTGTGGCTTTGTTGATCGCCTTCACGTCCTTATCCCGGATATTCGGAACCTGGTGACCCGAGGAGTCCAGCACCCAATTGAACTTTTGCATCTTATCCTCGAAAACGTAGCAACACCATGTTGTGGGCCTCGAAGACGTACTCGGGGCTTCTGAGTGCGTCATCCACTCTTGCTCCGTAGTACTCCAATCCATTCGCAATCTTGGAGGTCCGAGAAAACTGGGAAGTGGCTTGGACCAGTCGTTCCCCGCCCAAGTGATCAGCAGCAGAAGCGTTTTCACCATCCATCCTTGGCTTTGCAGTTCCTTCCGCAACTTTCGCAATGGCGTCGGGGAGGATGCCGTTATCGAAGCCGCATCCAGTAGAACTCGGGGCCTCACTTCTCTTGTTTGACGAGGGGTCCCATTTCCTCGTCCGATAGTGTCCCCTCTTCCGAGTTGATCTCGTAGGTCTCCGTCGCTGCCGGCATTGAGTTCTTCTTGAGGGGTTGAATCATCCGTGTCCCGTGCGATGTCGTCCTCGTGCGAGAAGGTGACCTTGCGGTTGTCGACGTGGTCGGCGGCGGTGTTCTCATCGAAGGTGTTGGAGTCGATCCGGTCCCACCCGTCTCGCTGGAAGACGCCGAAGTGAAAGCCTTTGGCCTGCCCAGGTTGTCCAACTCGACCATCTTGTCGCCCTGATGTGGACGGCTCCGAGGCGCCGGCAGGAATTTCGGGAACTCTTGTCCCCGCCGTCCCATGATCTTGGGCTCGTTCTCGGAGGTCTTGGGCAGCGGGTCGTTGGTTGTCTCCACCGTGTCGTTCCTTTGCCATCGACTCCCGCATAGGGTGCAAGTCCACCATTGGAAGATGGCATTGGCTCGACACCGTAGCTTGTCCGGAGGATGTTGGCAGGCTTGAGGTTCCACAGCAAAGGTCTTGTGGGCCTTCGATCTCGCCAAAGGTTGCCCGATCCCTTGGTTGATGTGGGAGTTCTTGGTGGCTCGGCGCTTCGGTTTTGCTTCGTGTGAGGAGCTCGCCTTCTCCTTCGGGTCCTCGGGGGGCGAGTCCACGATGTAGAACTCGTCCACGACCATTTGTTGGCGAGCCGTTGCCAACATCACCAGGATCCGCACCGTGAGCCTTTTCCAGGCAGCTTCCACCTTGGCCACACCCAGTCTCTTCTTGGGCAAGCCCTCGCTCAGCTTGCTCTCGTTGGCCACCAATCGGTCCGCCCGTTGTCTCAGCGAAGACATTGTTGCGCAAGGGACGGGCAGGCCGGCTGTTCGAATTGGTAATCCACTTGGCTGCTCGCGAAATCATCCGCTCGAACCAGGAAGCTGTGGAAAGCGGCACAGAACTGCATGACTGATTCACCTCATCAAAGACGTGCTCTAGGTCATATTCAGCATGTCGTGAGTGTGACTCATGCGGAACTTCGTCCTGCTATTCCACAAGCGAACAGCTGGTGGGCTCCATAACGGGTTCCAGTAAGGGAAACTGAAGATCACGGAGTAGTTGCTGATCCGATTGTTGTAAGGTATGCACCCCCCGAGAAGTATAAGCAGTCAGACTTATCCTAGATCCCTGCCAGGAAGTAACTTCATGCCAAAGTTTTGGGGAGAACTGCACAATCTTGCGATGCGTCCTGACCAGGCTTCCAACCAACTCTTGCCCTTGCGGACCCTTCACTGTTTTGCTGCGACCAAGGGATGCGTTCGGGTCGTAGTCTTGGATCCACAAGGCTCCGCCTTTGTGTCGACCAAAAGACACCGTGATGTTCTTGGAACAAACGTCGTTGTTGACGTCTCGGTGAAGTGGAGCCCGGACGTTCGCCCCGATGCTGATCGAACTGAAAGAAGCCTCCGGGACCTGTTGTCTCACCCAACAGTTAATGTACTTCACCAACTGCGGATACTTCGTTGTCGCCTTGGTGATCCCGACAAAGGAGCCGTGGGCGTACGCTCCGAAAACAGCCGAAAAGGCTTCCCCTTGAAGTGGTTTGCCGAGGATGTTCCTGAAGTGATCTCGGCGCATCGGACGAAGAAGTTGTAGCAGATCTTCCATGTCCTGCATGGACCATCGCGACTCCTGCAGAAACTGTAGGGCCTTGGCTTCAATCTCTTCTCCAGCTCGAAAAGCCACCAAGTTAGATGATGTCGGGGACGGCCGCAACGCAGAATCACACACATACTCCCCCAAAAAATTGTTGTGGCCGAAGCTGGAGGGAGTCGACTGCGTAGTGTTGGTAGACGATCGAGTGGATGTCGAGGGTCTCGGCTGCGTTGTCGTCATAGAACTGGCCATCCAAGACGAGGTCGACGAGGATGTTTGAAAGGGATCTCGACCAGCCACCCGAAGTTGAGTCGGCAGCGCCCACGCACGACCTTGGAAATCCAGGATGGGCACCGTGCGATGTCCTGAAGGCAGACGGGTCATGGAGGTAGAGTGCCCGGCCGGAGTCGAAAGCTTCTCGGAGGGCAAGTCGATGTTCGCTCCAATCGCCTCCAAGAAGCTGATGGGCAGCAGTGGAGGGGTGGTAAACTGACCGTCTCGCAAAACATGGAAGCGCAATAAAGCATGCACCCCCGCCACAGCAATGGAACATCTGGCACGCTTTCCAGTTGAGCTTCCCCTCCGATGCCTGCACAGGGCACCTCTGGTCCCTTTTGGGGCACTGGCTGGGGTTGCAGTCCCATCTTGCTCAATTCCAGCCGCAGAGCGTCCATGGCCGTCACGCCGATGACCGCATCCTCCGCTGCCGTGTCCACAATGGCCTCGTAGCCGCGCACCTGGATGCCCGCAAAGACTGAAATCGTACGCCGACAACCCGAAGCCTCCACTCGTTGTCGGTCCTCGAGGTGAGCCCAAGGAGTGGAACCTTGCATCATGAACACTTGGCCGCCACCTGGTCCTCGTGAAACGATGAAATTCACCTTCCGATCAGCAGGGGTCCCCTTTCCTCCAGAGCCGCCTTTCAAAGGGCAGTCTCGGGCATAGTGCCCCAGCTCTTGGCAATTGTAGCATTTTGTTCGGCTCTGCAGGTCCTCAAGCGAACCCTTGACCATCTTGGACCCACCCTTGCGCTGCGGGTGGTTGTTGGATCTGCTTCGGAAGGATCTCCCGCGGCCCTGTCCCTTGGAAGATGGCCGCATTGCACTCCGAGGTCTCTGAGGTGGGGCTTTGTTGTGCTTGATGAAGCCACGTTCCTTCCTCCTATCTTTCAAGTCTCTCCTCACGTCCGCATAGGCCGAGTGGTGCGCGGCCAGGTACGTTGACTCCTCCTCATCGTAGGTGCGGTCCTCGAAGTAAATCTGAAGGTCTTCGCCTTAGGCCGGGATCTCTTCATCCTCATCGTCTCTCTCCTCTTCCTCGGATTCATCGCCAACTTGATCCTCGTCCCCAGGGTTCTGGAAACGATTGTCCACCTGGTCGTGGTAGATCACCGGATAGTGCTTTGCCGAGGATGCTCCCAGCTCGGCATTCGCCGCGGCGACCTCATCGAAGCCCATTAAGGTTGATTGGTCGCGCAGGGAGATAAGCTCGCGTTGAAGATCAGAAAGATGAGCTTGTCGAAGAAGTATTCTCCCCGCCACCTTGTCATTCAACCTCTCGCCCAGATTCGTTTCCAAGTCCTGGCGGGCGATTTCCTTCGTCGCGATGAAGTTCGAGAAGCTCTCGCCTTTCGACCTGTCGCCCGAGTAGAAGAACTTGTCCACACTCGCCGGGCCAGCGATGTCGAGGTATGGACGGTACTTTGTCATGACCGCCGTCAGGACGAGGTCGTATCCGCTCGGGGACAGTAGTTCAGACATTGGAATCTGGTCAGCAATCTTCCGAGGCTGAGAATTCTCCGGAAACGACTGGTAAAGTCTCAAACCCCATTTCTCGCGATGAAGGGTTGTCTCAGCCTCCCAACAGGCCAAGAGTTTCAGCCAGGAACGAAGAGTTCCTGGTTGTCCGCTCCAGGATGGAATATTCTTTCTTTCACCTGTCAGGGCTGCGATGAAGCGTTCTCCTTGATCAGGAAGAGGAGCCGAGGACCTTGGGGGACTCACACCAAGTACATCAAAGGCCGAAGACACCTTAGTCGGAGAACCAGACTGTCGGGTCTGGTGATTCAAGCTTGCTGCCGCGGCTGCAGCTGAGTTCCTTCTCACATCAAGTTCTGGATTGGGCTCATGCATTCTCGTAGTAGGCGCCGATGTTCCTGAAGCACCCGCGAAGGTTGTAGGTGAGGTCGTGAAAGTGGGTGGTTGCGAAGGGAAGGCCTGTCCATTACCTCTTGGAGGTGTCAAACCAAAGCTTCCAGGAATCCCTTGAGGTGGTCCCGTAGCCAGAAAGGGAGAGGGTAGCCCTCTCGGGTTCAGGTTTCCAAAGTTCGACACCTGAGAAAAGACGCCGCCTCCAGGATTCCATTCACTTGGGGATGAAACTCCAAAGGCAGAGGGCAATCCGTTCGGATGCCCCGAATTCGGCATCCAAGTTCCAAACGCACTTGACGTAGAGGTCGCTCCTTGAACACCCACTTGCGAATCACCACGAGGTAACCGTGAAGCGGGTCCTCCAGGCTGATCAACACCTGGTCCTTCACGAACGGGTCTCCGGGCCAGCTATTCAGCCCAGGGATCCATGCTGGGATTCGTACCCAGGCTCCGGTGCCAACTGACGCTAAAGCGATCGCTAGGCACACATCTTTTCTGCGCACCATTCGAGACTCAAGGCCTGCGGTTGTTCTGTGCACAGTCGAGGCTGCCTAAGACAGACATGTCAAAGCGAACGGGAACTTTCACCACGTTCCACACTGCGGAGCGGCACATATTATACTTGGCCGCCAGCACAGTCATGGGGCTGAAAGGCCCGCCAAATAAGAAGACGGAGACCTTGCATCTCCATAACCCTCAACCTCCACCCCAAAACGAAGCCTGAATGCTACACCGCATCCTACTTGCCATCAGGACCCTACTTAAAATGCATTTCATCTCAAGCCCTGAAAAAAGTGATGCGCACTACTGATTTCCCGACAAGAATCAAAAAGATCTACACTCACCAGTCACCAGTACGACTAAGGAGCCTTATTTGTCTGCTCACCGAAATCCCTAATCAAAACACCTGACCTCGCACGAACCCTCAAAAAAAAATACAATGCATTTAAATCCTACACGCAATTACCCACATTTACGACTCTTCCGACGGGGCGGGCCGGGACGGTCTGCAGCGCCGGCGGGGCAAGGGCGGAAGATCGCATCTGGACGTGGCCTTAGCAAGTGTCAGAGTCTCAGAGGCAAGCCTGCGCTACAGTTTAGGGTTTAGGGTTTTGGGGTTTAGGGTTTAGGGGTTTAGCATCCAAAGATCCCAAAGGCCCTAAATCCGAATGCGTCGTACATCGGGGAGAAGACATTGGTCCCTCCCACCCAAGCACCGAATTCGAAGGATTGGGGTCCGATATTAGAGGCCAAAGGCTGCACTCATGGAGCCTCAGCGCTGTAATGCACTGGGCGTAGGGGGGTCTACGTAGCTTCGTGTCCTGTCCTGACCGATTGCTTGCGGCTTTCTGCAGGAGACTACCTGCTAGGTGCCTCGTCCTTCACTCTTCCAAGGCTGGCAGGTTCAAAAGGTTCAAAAACAGAGCTCGGTAGGGCAGTGTGGCCCAACATCAGAGAGAGAAGCCGGATCTCCTATGCAATTGATTACTAAAGTGAGAGAAGGCACAGGACATGTTGCTAAACTCGCCATCCGGGACCTACACCTGGATCCAGAATGCCCAAAGCCCTGGACCCCGCAGCCGAACACCTATGCACTGCACTGCAGCAGCACGAAGTAGACAAAGCCGATAGAACAAAAACCCTAAACCCGAAACATGCACCGGCGCTTTCTCTCAAGCAACCGTCCTGCATGACAGATAGAACGGATCGTGGACTCTGGCCTTGACTCATGTGAGAGCTTTCTTAGCTTTAGGGGACACATCCCTGATGTAAAGACGGTAGAGGCTTTCAAGCTGCCCATTTCGCAGCTAAGAGCCCACGGGGCATGTTTCTGTATTGGTGACCGAAGAGCTGACATCGTGGATCCCCATATATCCCAAAACCCTACAAAGCCAGACCAATCCCAAACCCCACAGGCCAAACCCCCGCCCAAAAAAAAAAGGAAGGAGCCCTTTAAAAAAAAGACTGTGTAACCCGAAACCCCGGCAGCCCTAAGAACCCGGAAGCTCATCCCAGCTGCGCGAGGGGAGCAGCCATGGACCGAGGCCCTGCCACCGAAAGCTCTCTAAAACAAAAGAAGAATCCCACTTTAGATTTCTGGTGCTTAGCGGAAAAAAGCCTGGTTTCGGTCAACTCCCGATGTATCGACACAATAGGGGGCCTGAGTGAGAAGACAAGGGTTTTGGTGTATCTTCTAGCAGGTCTGCAGCCCCGACACGGGACAAACCCTGAGATCGGGAGTTTCGGGCTCAGCAAGCCTACACTCTAAATCATCAGTAGTAAATGTTGATAAAGCGCATCCTATTTTGGCCCTGTCTCTACGAGTTTAAAGCCTCTTCAAAGGCTTGCTAGGCCTCTCAGACTGAAGAAAGATGGCGTCATATTGAACACGAGGAAGAAGGGCTAGTGAACCCTGAAGATGGCTCTTCCTGGGTGCTGAGGAACTTAATGATACCTCACCATGGACTGCATGTCATTTACTACAGACCCTTATCGCCCTAACATAAGCTTTCACTTCTGAACCTAGAGTGAAATCCAGAGAAAACTCTGCCGAAACCACGGCAAGCCCCACAGACCCCAGTCTTTGATCGCAGTCGACGAGCCCAAACGAGTCAAAAGGGCATAGCGTTTCGGGCAGGGCTTCGGTGGCATTAAGTAGGGCTTTAGGGGGGGGGGGGGGGG